TGTGGTGAGAAAGGAAAAAAGAAGCATCCAGACCATTACAAAAACCTCAACGCCCAAATGATTCACCAGTTTTTTGGACTAGACTGCACTTTTTCTTTAACAAAAAAGGAAACTACCATGACGCTAATACCATAACTAGTGGTTGACCGATATATCGCCAAGGCCGATATATCGGCCGATATTTGACATTTTTCAAATATCGGCATCGGCCGATAAGTTTTTCTGTTTGGCCGATGTGTTCGAGGCGGGACTTTTATTTTGACTGCGCTGAGAACAGCAGAGCCTGAGCACACAGTGCTCACATTCTCCCTCTTGTTCGCTGTCGTCGTTCAGTTCTGTCTAATATGGATATAAGTCTATCTAATAATCAGATAGAACTGTTAAACAAATGAATTAAAACGATTGCTTTAATATTATTAGTAATAGAAAGGCAAACATTATAATACTTTCTTATTTGCCGTCAGCATTCAGCAAACACGCATTTATATCATTTAAACAAATCTTTGAATGACTAATGAACATTTAATTTCACAAACCTTGCAGACTTAGTCGAATCTAGTTGAGATTTTGTGAAGTGTGCATTTGTATCCTGCATGATCGCGTGTTCTCTGTGTGACGGTCGGTTGGTGCAAATTGAATGCTGACAGGAGGAGAGTTCAGCTTCAGTGGAGACGCGCGATCGACAACTTTAAACTCGTGATTTTCAAATTATGCTGCGCTTTATGCAGTTGCCCACTGTCAAATTCATGTCATTTTCATTGCGTGCTGTATGTAAAATGAGTGTTACCTTGGCTTTATTTGAAAAAAAATAATAATTATTTCCCAAATTTCCCAGAATACTGAGTGCCCTGTTGGTTACCGTGTTTATTTCCTTTTTAATTAGATTTTTATTAAATATTTATTTATTTGTGAAAAATGCTTTGTCTTCTAAAGTATAAGTATGTTTATTTTACACAATTATTTTAATCCATTTTCAAATGATTTCAGATTTCTTAAATATAAATTAAAATAAATAAAATTATATCGGCTTTATATAGGGCCATCGGCCACCCTGCTTTCCAAGATATCGGCATCGGCATCGGCTGTCAAAAAACCCATATCGGTCGACCACTAGACGCTAATATAGTTATCGCTCTTAAAAAGCATCAGGATTTAAAACATCAGGTGACAAAACTGCAGCTCATTCTTATAACAAACAATGTTATCGTCCGTTGATGTGGACGCTAATATAGTTATCGTTCTTAAAAAGCTTGAGCATTTTAAGTGGCAGCCAACAAAACTGCAGAGCGCACTTGCATTAAACAATGTTATCGTCTGTTGATGTGGAATGCCAAGTTATCGTTCTTAAAAAGCTAGTGTTTAAAGCAGCCGGCATCAAAACTGCAGCATGTGCTTATAACAAACAGAGCGTTATCGTCCATTAGTGTGGATGCTAATATAGTATCATTATAGTTTTTGTTCTTTGTGTGAATGGGCCTTTAACTGTGGATACCAATGGGATGTTCATGTAAGATGCATTTTGCGCAACAGATTGAGTTTATTGTTGCTCGTGGCAGAATTCTCAAAATAGATATGATGTAGTTGCCCAAAATGCTAAATGCTAATTTAAGCCCTGTTGCTAAAAAACTCTGAATCAATAAAGATTTTGATTCGTTCATCTAGGTGTTTTCTTCCAAGTTGAGGAAGTCCATCATTTTGGGAATGATGTGAGAGGGTGGATCAGTCTGTCAGGCATTTGATGGGTGTCCGTGAACTCATCATGTCACTGTGTGCTTCCGTCACATTGTGGGAAGAACCTGCGCAGATGTTCTGTGTTTTTGAGAAAATGAAGTGTGACATGAGTTCCACACCATTAGGGTTGGGTATCGAAAACCAAATTTCCAAGAACTGGGTATTCGATAAGACGCGTGCATTTAGATTCTGCTTAACGATTCCTGCGTTCGTATATATATATATATATATATATATAATATAATATAATATAATATAATAGTTTGTGATTAATTTAATCACATCAATATTTGCTGAACAATGCCCCATATGAAGACATTTACACTTGATTACATTTATATTAGTTTAATATACATTACAAAGTGGCTGTTAGAAACATTGATTGAATTGCTCTAACGGTTTGAAAACCCCATATTAATTTATTTATGTGTTGGAGTAATTATGTGATTTTTTTTTTTTTGTGTCTGTGTTATTTTTTACATTTATATTTATTTAATTAATTAAATCACATTAATTTTCAACTGCACCAGATTACTTAATTTAATCTTGCTTAATTGAAAGCCCTAATTTTTTTTGTTTAATGAATTCTACTTTTAATTTAGCAGCTAAATTTCAAAATGCGCTATGCGGAATCCATGTTTTGAGTTTATGCATGTTCTTTACTGATATTTACTTTAATTACTCAGGTAAACAAGATAACAAAATGAAAAGCAGTTTCTATTTTCATTAAAGAATATATTTGCCGTCTATATGGTATTATGTTTGTTAATATTTATTCTAATATTAATATGCCATTAAACGTATACATACTAGCATTCAAAATAATTTTTTATATTTTAACAGATTTTACTCCAGTGTCATATGAGCACCAAATCAGCATGTTAGAAATAGGATCAAGAAATATTTCTTATTATTATCAATGTTGAAAACAGTTTATGCTTTTTTGTGGAAACCATACTTTTTTTCAGGATTTATTGATAAATCCAATAATCACTCCGCTGCACATTCAACAGAACAGCATTTATTTGAAAATTACATCTTTTGTAACATTACAAAAGTATTTAATGTCACTTACGATCAATTCAATGCATCCTTACTGAATAAAAGGTTTCATAAAAAAAAAATGTAAGCATTAATAAAAAAAATAAAAAATCCCAAAACTTTTGAATGGTAGTGAACTTTTTTTTTTTTTTTTTGCTGTGGTATTAATTAATATAAAGAATTCTTAAATTTTACTTTTACTGATATTGACTTCATAAACTTGGCCATAAACATGCTCCTTACCTCAAATCTCAGATTTCAACCAATTTATACCAGCCTGCATTTCCAAGAATGCTTTGTGACTGAGCACCCGTGAGGTTTCAACATGCACCGAAATTAATTGCTGTAATGTGTTTGCTTGTCCATCTAGAATGGGAGAGCCAGTGGAACTGCATTTTTCTCACTTGAAGTTTGGGACCAACCCAAAATACACAATTTAAAGAACCTAACCACCCTTTCTCCTCTTTTTTTTCTTGCAGGTTAGCTTTATATGTGTATGAGTACTTGCTGCATGTTGGCGCACAGAAATCAGCACAGACCTTCCTGTCAGAGGTAAGTGGTATCGCATAATCAACTTTCCCAAGCAAACAATTGTTGTTGTGTACTCAGGAAAAACTCATATTAAAGGGATAGTTCACCCAAAAATGGGTTATATTGGATTTTTTATCTTATTGGAATCGAAACTAGGAATCGATAAGAATCGGAATCGATAAGCGGAATTGGAATCGGAATCGATAAAATTCAAACGATACCCAACCCTACGCACCATACTTAAGTGTTAAAAATTACCGTAATTAAATTAGAAGCGAAACTCTGACATCTTTTCCTGCATTGCACAAAAGTACGACTTTGTTGACAGCTGTATATATATTTGAGGGGAGCTCCTAAAATGAGTACGTCTGATGAAACGCCAAGAAATAATTCCGACGTTTGAGGGGAAAATGAGTCCTTGGTATTTGATCCTTGAATCTGTTCTTCTGGAGATGCTCTTTAAATAGTAATGGGGAGTGTTGTATGTGGACAGATAATGCATTTTTGTTTGGGCTGTCAATTTTTACAATTTTCAATTATATAAT